TATGGAATAAGATTTCCTTAAATTTTAATATTTTTCCCTTATGGAACTAGGTTTTCTTTCTCTATAAATAGGAGACTCATTTACCCAAATTATATCACAATATTATTAAGAATAGAATCTCAATAATTCTCTCTCTGTTTTTTCTTCTCGTTCTCTTATTTTATAACAAAAATAACCAACTTAATATTTTAGTTTCAAGTTTCAATAGACATGAGGAATTATTATAATAGAGTACCAAAAAAAAGTTCGACTTCTCTAAGTCAACCAAATAAAGAAACAACGATAGATCAATTAGAGATGTTGTCACATTCTTCTCAAAAACAAAGCATTGATTTAAATACTCTAAAAATGACTTGCGAAATCGAATGGATGATGAGTTTTTAGACGGTTGTATAGTGCCTTATGTAGAAAAGAAAGTATTTCGTACTATTTATAATGAGTCTATTATAAGAACGTTTCAGGATATGAAACCTCGTCGAGTACAATTGTAATAATATATTTAAATTATGTTTTCAATAGTAGTTTATTTTCTTTATGTTAGTTTTGAATTATACACTTGTAATTCTATTAAAAATATTCCTATATTTAATTAAATATTGCTTAACTTGATTATTTGTTTTGGTAATTTAAATCGTCGTTTTTTTAAAAAAAAATTACTATTAAAAGTTTGGACACCCTTCATTAAATTCCTGGCTACGCCACTGTTTGGCACTCCATGTCATGTAGCTTAATACCTTGATCTATAATGCACCTGCATGATATTTACTGTTAATACCAATGGAGCGGATAGATACAAGAATAACAAAACAAGGGAACCATTTATAGGCAGGAAAGGTAATAAAATAGTGGAAAGAGAATGAAATGAAAAAAAGAATTAAACAAAGAAGAAAAGAGTGAGAGTAAAGAGCATATTGGTGTCATAGCTTCACCATAGCAACTCAATGAAGAATAAGAGGCAAAACAAGAGAGGGAGAACAGGGAGAAGAAGACGACCATTCATGTCCATTCTAGTATGTTATCCACAAAATCTCCTTTTTGTTTTTGATAAATACTATGTAAATTTCTTTTATGGTTTCCTTAACTTTTCTTTTTTCACTTTGACTATTTTGCTGTTTGTTCTGATCTTTCGTTATATACTATCTTCTTAAATATTAATGAATTGTATATTTTTGGCAGACATGTTTTTCCAGTACAGTGTTAGATTGTATTCAAAATGATAATGATTCTCTCTGATTCTGGTTAACTTCATAATTAACAGATTCATCAATTGCGGGGTTGACTTAAATAACAGAAAGAAAGAAAGACCTGCAAATTTACATTCATAAAAGTGGTAAATTGCATTCTTTAACATATTATGATTATTTAATGGTTTCTGAAAAGTCAAACTCCATAGATGCAACATAGAGGACATTGAACATGCACTATTCATCACAAATAGGGGTTATATACCATGAATGGTACTGAATGCTAAGCACCAAATCAGCCCACATACTGGAATTTAGTCTTTTACTTGGCAAAAGATAAACATTATTTTCCTACAATCTGTAGTTGCCCCTAATACGAGTAAGATGGTCCTTTGTTCACTTTACCAATAATATAAGCTAGTGAGAGGTCAATGCTAAGGAGTAGAACATTCCATAAAGAAGACAATTCCTAACAAAGACAGAGAATTTTAAATTTTAACAGTACAACAATAGCAAGTAAAACAGTTAGACATATTGCCACCAGAAAAGACAGGTGAATCAAGAATAGTGGACATCAAGTGCAAACATGGACATTATAATCCTTAATTATTGAATGGGTCAGTAACAGGGCCATCCATGTATGACACAACTAGAAAGGCCATTACCTGGATGCCTGCAGCCAGCTCCTTTTCGTTTCACTCAAAGTTAACACATTTAGAACGGGTACTCATCTAAACTTAAGCAGGAGACTGTGCTTTAAAGAGATTTCAAGCTTTAGACATTCCTTTGTCAATGCTACCAGATGGAACGACTCAGGATATCTCACTTAATCAGGATATAACTCTCTTTTCAGATCTTTCCAGACTTCAAGGCCTTTAGGATGAGGATTTACATAAGTCTTCATGAATAATTTCTCTGAGGAAGCTATGATAGTGCTCAAAGACAATGTTGGGTCAACTTTTCCTTGATCTTTGAGCCAATTATACATTGAAAGCCTAAGTGTGGTTCTTGGAATTGTGTAGTTTAGGTAGGATGGAAACGAAACTAAAGTAGACAGTGGAAGACCCAATGTATTCAATAGAAAATCAATCTTTGCCTCAAGTACCTCTTTCCTTTGATTGAGTATTTGCGGATATATTTTCAGCACTGAAGCAACATGCTTTCGATCCAAACCAGCATTTACCAAACAATCAAACCTCTCTTGGAGCTCCACCCCTTTTCCTCAAAATAATTTGAGAGCTTTCTCCATTTCGCTCGAGTTCTCAGCAAAACCCAAATCCAAAAGGAACTTAGTTTTCATCATTTTGGATCTTAGCTCCTCCTCAGCTATTGGTAACCGTTCAACTTTGGCTCCACGAACCAAATTCCGCAAAAATTCTGGATTCTCCTTGATCACACTACAAAGCCGCTTCTTCCCTGTATTCAGGGTAGTTAGCAAGCTTGTAGCTTTCTTCAAAACACATGAGCCTAGCAATGTAGGGTATGAATGAATAATATTTCCAATCTCTAAGACAGGCATCTCAATTTCAATCAAGAACTGGTAGCATTGCCTCATAGTGAAAACAAATGTGGTTATTGGAATTTGTGGCAAGCGTAGAATACATCATGTAATTTGGGTTTCTGAATACCAAATTTCAACCAGAATCCAATTAGCGAAAATGTAGTACGTCCGGAACAATCAAACAGAAGACCAGGAACTTGACAAATTAATTTTCCTAATTGTTGATCAGTCAAGCCCAACCCGTTCAAGAAGCATATGAGCTCGAATAAGTGGCTCCAATCAATAGAATCTCCATTCAATTGCTCCTCAATCCAACTATATTCAACTCCTGTTTTCTTTAATTCCTCAACAACTTGAAAAAATTCCTTGTGTACATTCCCAATCAAAAGATAAGGACTTGCACTAACAAGCTTAACAACAATAGACTGATCTATCCCAACCCCGTGAAAAGAAGCAAGTTTCAAGTCCAAAACTCCAGAATCATATCTCAAAACTTCTGGAGCTTCAGCAAAAATCCTTCCTATCTTATTTCTTGAAATACCATAATTACACAAGATGTGATAGTTATCAAGCAACCTATGATCATCATTCAAAAACATGAGATCTCTAGGAAGAAATGGCAAGTACTGACAAGGTTTCAGACCAATGCTCTCAAAGAATGGTTCAAATTCATTGATTGGATGATATCGCAAGAATCGAGTTAAGGAACGTCTAATATCATTTTCATTATCAATTCTTTGTAATAAGTTGGAAAGAAAAAAAGGTGAGTTTTTACTCATATGTTCAGCATCCATAAACTGCAAACTTCTAGTGGAATGCAAGTAGTCTAGCAAAGCAGCTTGTGCTTCTTTCTTCACTGCACGAGGTATATGACATTCTTCTTCTTCTTCTCCTTGTTTCAATTTAGATTTTTTAGCAGTTGCATAAAACCTAACCTTTTGGGAGGAACCAAAAAATGGTTTAGAATTGTTAAAAACATAACCCCATTTGAGAATTAATGGAGTTATCAGTTTCTGCAAATGCTTCATCAATGGAAAGAGAAGGATAAATCTCTCTATGATTTCAAGAAATTACTTCACTTTCGATTCTGCGGGAAAGGGTTTGAGTTGGCAAAGTAAGAGCACAAAAGGGTTTTGCAGCTGTGCTAGTTTTAATTAGGGAGTCGGGTCAATCCTATTCCAAAAATAGAAGAGAAAGGGCAGCTAGAGATGGCAGGCAATGGGGTGGGGTGGGGTGGGTTTAAGGTTATGCAGGGTGGGGTGAGTTTAAGATGGTGCGGACAGCGGATTGTGGATATATGTGATTTTATGTAGGTTCAAATTTAATTTTATTTTTTTATATGTTATAAGAGTGATAAAACATTATTTGTTAAAGATAACTTTTTTAAAGCTAATAAAATATTTAAAATAGTAGATGAAAATAGTTTAATAAAAAATGGGAAAAAAAATAAATATATCTCCGAACTATCGTAAATGGTATGTAGATACCCTCTGTCATACTTTTGGGACATTGGTGTCCCTGTCGTCCAAAAACTAGAGTATATATACCCTTTATACTAACAGACATACACGTGTCATAATCTTATTCACCTACACGACATTTATTAAATATCGGCTCCACGGATAAGATTGTGGCATGTGTCCCTATTTAGTCGTCCGTTAGAATGAAGAGCATATATGCTCTAGTTTTTGGATGGCAGGGGCACCAATGTCCCAAAAGTATGACGGGGTATCTGCTTACCATTTACGATAGTTCGGAGGTATATTTGTCCTTTTTCCCATAAAAAATAATACAATTTCTTATATGTTTCCCAATTGACCTCTAAAAATAAATTTTTAAGTAAATATCTATTAAATTAATACAACTTAATGAAAAATGAACTTATTTTTATTATTTATATTTTTACTATCAAACTTAACTAAAATATAAAATATTAAAAAAAAATGCAAGGAGAATTTATGCGGGATGGAGTGAGCGGGTTGAAAATGAAAA